ACAGTAGTGCCCTCGTGTGCAATCAATTCTGATGGTGACCTCGTGCAAAGCCAGACATGAGCTGAAGTGGAAAGTTCTCTTCATCATCTGCTATTTACTCATGTCAACAAAAGTACCTGTCTGGCACTCCTGCAGCCATTGTGTTCTATCACACTTTATTAAGGCACCAGTTTTCCTGAAAACTAAACAACTGTGCAATAAGGTTAAAAAGATGCTCTTCAGTAGCCAAAAAATAGTAATTAAATTGGCTTTATTGGGTATACTGCTCTCTCCTAATCCTTATTTGCTAAGACCTAAGGAAGATAACATTTGTAGAGCCTGTGCCAGATTTCCATTCAGGTTTTTCTCATCTGAAAGATGGTTAAAAACCTGAGTATTTTAAGACTTTGAGAATCTTCAGGAAATCCTAAGAAAACAGTGTCTGCTATTCTGCAGTTACTGAAACATCTGCTGATTATGTCTGCTCACTGTGGAAGGCCCCCCTGGCCTGTGTGCAAGGTGTTGGTAGCGGGGTGCCAGCTGTGCACAGACCTGCTGATGGCAGAGCCCGGTGCTGTGTCTTTGCAGGACTCACATGACCAAGTACGAGAGCCTGCCCTCCGGCAGGCGCTACACGGCCAGGAGGGGGAAGGCAGCCACGCTGGCCGGGAACGAATACCCCCTGCACCAGGAAAACTCCAACATGTGCAAGAAGGTGTTCGGCGCCAAGTCGGACTCTGCTGGCAGCTGGTTTTGAAAGCAGCGCCTGGGCTCCTGCTTTCCTGCATCCCTCAATGACTTAGGCCTGCACACACCTTTCCAGCGAGGAGCTTGACCCTGCACGGCTGCATTAATGGGAAATCTGCCATTGATTTCAACGGGCCAGGATCAAACTCTCAGTGTGTGCACAGTGTTTACATATTAACCTATATTTAAAACTTTTGTAAAAAAAAAAGCCCTAAGGCAAATAAAGACCAATTTGGTAGCGTTTCATGCACTCCCATAAGGGTGGTGCTTGTTCTTAATTTTTACTTTTTTGTGCCAAAAGCAAAAGTAATCTTTTTTTTTTTTTTTTTCTGGGGGAATACAGAAGTCTGTGTTTTTGATGTGTGGAAAGAACAATTATGATGTATAAAGAATGATTATTTATAAATGTATTTTAAAGTATTTAGGTGTTTTAGGCCTATGACCGATCCCTGTTCAAATATTCAAGTACAATTAACAACCAGATAGGACCATGAATTCCTGCTTACTCAGTATTGCCTGTTTACAAAAAAGCAGGTTTTATTTTACATGATTTTAAAGGATTTTGTGAGTTTTTTTAAGCAGGCAGAACTTGATTATTATTATTTATCTTTTGGAGTTTTTTTATTAACTGCTGTAGTTAAATACAATTGATTAACAGTGTGAGGTTATGTTTCCAGAAGGAACTTACATTTGCCTTAATTCTGTTCTCATTGAAATCAATGGTGTAATTTCTGTAGCTACCAGAAGCAGGAGCAGAGTTAAGCCAATACTGGCAGCTCATCAAAATTTGTCTCCCTGTGTGTAATCAAGGCAGGTGCATTTCAAAAAATGAGCATGCACTAAGGCAATTCTGAACTATGGAGAAGGAAAGGATCTTGAAAGAAATAGATTCTGGATGCACAGTCTAGCAAAGCCTGTGCTGAGCCAGAACATTTTCTTCTAGGTAAGTTAGGCTTGTATTTCAATGCAAAAAATAATCACTACTCAGACAAGTCCTCTGATTAAAATTACTTAGACACTTCAAGCAGTGTCTTCATAGGATATGTGAAAAAATAAAAAAAAGTTTTACATCAGCATTGCAGATTAAAAGAGAATATACCCCATCCCAGCTCAGCTGATCTCTGATCCATCTGATTTAATTTTTATAGGACAAGGTGGGCAAGTGCTGTTCACAAAAAAAAGTAAAATAAAAAGGCAAGAACAATTGTTCATTTTTTAAAATCCCAAACCCAAAAGCAGCCGGGAAAAACTCATAAATTGTCATGAAAAAAATTTATTACAAGAATAAGAAAAAAATCCAAACTCTTTTGTGTTGTAAAAGCCAAGAGTGCAGAAATCTGCAAAAATCAAACTGTCAGTGGGATGAAAAAGTGGTCTGCTTGTTGTCTTTCCTGAAAATGCTGGCACATTTCTAGTCAAAGCCTAAATAAAACAGGTTGAAATACAGTGTGAAGAAACTGTTTCCAGTCTTATTGTCTGTTACTTTCTGGGTACAGAAAGCCTCTCATTAGGGAAGGAATGCTGTTGATTGGGGTAAGAGGAGCCATTTTACTCACCTTCAAAGCATGAAGCAATAATTTAAATTGGCACTCAGGTTCTGGGCTCCCTCTCTAATCAGGAGACCTCCTGATTAGATGAGGATGCACCATGGGCTGGAGGTGCCTGCCCAAGCCCTCTGCCCAGAGGAGAGGTAAGAGCCAGGCACTCCTCCTCAGTGTCAATACTGCCCTCAGCATCCACTCACAGCCTGCTCCCTGTTGTAGACACTCTGATACCTCCACTGCTGTTTCAGGAACAAACTGAAGACAAACCTTTGTATTTGTTATTAATACTTGCTCTTTGTGTCACAAAAAACAAAAAGAGCAGAGCTACTTACTCACCTGGCAAGAGGCAGTCTCCTCCTGCAGAGACCTGACACCCTAAATACAGAAGGTGGACAATGAAATAGCTGCCATCACTCTTTTACTTGAAGAGAGTTGAGATATCAACAGATGACACCTCTGCCCCACTCTGCCAGGCTTGCCTATCAATTTACAACCCAAAATCAGAATAAAAAGGTTCTAGATAATGCAGTTTATATCTGTAAGATCTTCGTCTGATACCAGCAATCCTTACACCATACCAGCAAGGCTTACCCCTTCTCAATTGTGTCAAATTGAGGAACCAGCCAGTAAAGGGACATTGTGGACCTCCCACAGCTTTCACACTTAAACAGAGCCCCTGAGACCCCACTGCTCCTTCAGAAGGAATACATGTCTTTGTGGATACCCCCTGGCATGGCAGCAGATGCTTCTGAAGCTATCTGACCCCAACAGCTGGACATAATGGGGATTCCAGGAGAGGTTTAGTCCAGCAGCTGGGTAATGGAAGGCCATGGCTTCCTTACTGGGGCTCCATAGCTACAGAAACAACAAAAGTAACAAACTTCTAAAAATAAGGTGAAATGAATACATTGTTCCAGCCTGCATTTGAAGGGAAAATGCATCTAGGGTTATAAACAAAGCAAATGCTCTGTTTATCCAATTAGTGGGGGTTAATCAAGATGTAAAATACGTATTTAATAGTGGTATTACATGTACTTTTAAGTAATCAGCAGTGGTAGCAATTAAACAATAATTCATACCTGAAGTTCAGAGAAGGAAACAAATGCTCAGTCTTTTCTAATTGGAAACCATAGAAGGAATAGTGCAATGAAAATCCAGGTAAGTCCAAAAAGCAACCCACTTGCAATAGAGACTTGGAAACTTTCCCCTTCAGGTTTCCTTCCAGGAATACTAATTTTTGAACAGTGTTTTTCATCTACTCTTAAAAAAAATATTCATATATATAGAGATACAGTTTGGGTTTGGCAGGCAGATTACATGTTCTCAATAGCAACAAGCCTATGGGTCAGCAATCTAATATTGGTGCCTTTTTTTTTGTTTGGATTTTTAGGGTTTTTTTAGTGTTATGTTCTATGTTTGGATAACTTGTTTAGATCTGACATCAGGGAATTATTTGCTTCTCATTTTACTTTGTTCCTACTCCTTTTCACAATAGAGTTGCACTTTTACCATCATTCCTACCAGTGATATTTTAACAACCATGTAGAAACTTATAAGATTTTCTCCAACAATCCTTGAAAATCCCACATATTCCACCCTTAAGTTTATTTAAGGTATTGTAAGAAATCCTCATACTTTAATTTCAGTAGATTCATGTGGTGGGAGGCACTTTGTGTCTGGACAAACACTGGTTGCATTATTTGGCTTCTTAAGGAAAGGTTAAAGTTCATGTCTCTCAGTTTATTTACTTTTGACCTCTCTTTTGTGGAGGTTTCAGCTTCATTTTTCCATCTATTGTGAGAAACCAGCAGTGCTGTGAAAATCTTGTAACAGAGCTCCACTGAAATCAGGCTCCAGGAACTCTCCTTCAAGAAAAGCAGAGTTCCCAAATTTACCAGTTGACAACCCCAGGTCTCCTTGCAATTTTGGACTTCTCTGATTTTAATAAAGTGATCCAAGGCCATTTTCTCTGCTCTACACACCCACTATTATTTTGTGTCTGTTTTGGTCACCCTTTATCTCCTGGTAGCCCAACTTGCTTCAGTTTTCCTTTAAGTGAAAGTGTTCATTTAAACTGCAAAAGTAATACTTCAGTTTTCAAGTCTATTTTGGGATTTTCTGGTGTTTGACTCATGCTTTTTTAAACATTTGAACAATAGAAATCTTTTCAGTCTCCATGAAGATAGAAAGAAAACACTTAAGCAGCAAAAGATATTTCCTAGTAATAGTGCAAGCAATAATGCTATCCACTAATAAACTCATCTTATGTTTGCTTGTATTGCAATATTAGGCAATGAAGATAACATGGAGGGTGAGCAGAAAAAAGTTATTTACTCCACCAATTGCTCTCTCTGAACACATTACAACATACAAAGATGCAGTTCTTTGGATACCCAAACCCATTCACCAGTCAAAGTTAGCTCACTGAAACTGGGGACTTTTTTCTTAAATTATACTTGGGTAAAAAAATAAGCAATGCCAACTACCCTTTGTTATAAGAGGAAAGAATAAAGAGATATCAGGTCAGAAAGAGACTTTCAATACTGGGACAAACTCAGGGAGACTCTGAGTGTGGGGTTTTTGATCAGCTCTCTGGTGTAATCCCTTCTTCTGTTGCTGTTTACATGTTGAACCAAGCAATGACTCTGTTTTCACTTGTTCTGCACAACAACCAAGGTAACTTTGCAAATATACAACCAAGCAGGACTGCAGGCTTACTTGCAGTGTGTCTTTTACTGAAAAATACATTTTATTTATCATAACATTCAAGAGAAAAAACAAAAATAAAAACAACAAACCCCAACATAATACAAATGCCAACTCATTCAGTTACAAACTTTGGTACTTGGCAGTTTCAGACACTCTGTTCTCACGTGGCTGTGACGCTCCCAAGTTCCCGCCGTGCAAGTCCCAGAGCGACGCCGCCGTCCCTCAATCCCAGGCCCATGGCACCCTGCAGTGGGATCACTTTGGGTTTCAGCTATGCACTTGCCACAGTGTTGTCTCCACTGAGAGCAGCTCAAAGAGTCCATTTCTCTCCAGTTATACATCTTCTGTTTCTTAATTCTTCTTCCACGGGCAACAGTCATCGACACGATGCGTTCATGGCCTTTTCCCTTTTGCCTTACAGCCCACCCCTCTCTCATCAGACATACCACCCACATCCTCTAAACAATCATTATCCTGACTTCACATTTGCACTTTTAAATATCTTTACACCAATAACTAACTCACCCCTTTAAAAATGAGAGGAAAAAGAAAGGGGCAGGGAGGGAAAAAAAGAAGAAATTAAAAAAAAAAGAAATAGGTGAAAAAAAGCACAAGCATTTTGAAGTATGTGTTCTCAGGTAGCCACAAGTTAATGGCAATATGTAAGCATAAGGAATGACACTTTGGCCATCAACACTAAAGAATAAAGGTAGCACTGAATACAGACAAGGGGCAGAAACACCCCACACAACCCATAAATACATTTCAAATCATTCACCAGTTGATTCACCAAGGGTTAAATTTGATACTGAGTGAAACCAACCCTGTTGCAAAGGACCAGAACAACATTCTGGTGCATCACTCCAGTCCCGCTCAAACTTTTAATTGTATCCTGACCTAAAATGCATGGACAGTTGGCTGGTGCAGCCCTCAAAACCCTGACAGCAGGGCTGGGAGGGAACTTGAGTGGTGCACAGGATTTTGCCCTGCTTTGCACATGGGGTGAATTTCAGCTGTAACATACTATGACTGCACCGTGAAACATATAATACTAGCAGCTTGTGAGCCCTGACATGGAGGGCTTGAATCTAATCCAAGATATGTGGTTACACATCACCCCATCCACTGGAGAAATTCACCACTGGGCATACATGGAGGAGCACCATATTACCAGAGTTTTTTTCTGGTGACCTTTTGTGGCATTATCTGCTGGGTCTGGCTTGACTCAAGCCCAGAGATCAGGTTCTGTAAAGGGAAGAACCTGGTGCTCAGGTCTGCAAGGCATTCAGCACTCTGGGATGAGTTCAGCAAAGCTTTGCATAGATGGGTGAAGGAAAAAATCCTTCCACTGAAGTCCCCAGGAATCTGCTTAAGTATCTGAAGTTGGAGATGCATGTGAAGGCTTTGCTGGGTTAGCGAAGCACCTTGCAAAACTGACCCCTTGATGCAAACAAGAAGTCTTTTTAGAAATAGACAAAGTCAAGTAAACACTATTTGACATTAGGATTGACACATTCCATTGAAGTAAACTCCCCTGAGAAAATAAATAGCTGTTGGTATTCCCTCATTTCATTGCTTTCATCTCCACAGGCAGTGAAAAAAAAAAAACCCTGCAAAATTTACCTCCAACAAATACATGTTGAAATCCTGGGCAGTTGTTTTCTATGCTTTTTTTTTTTCCCTTTCAAGTACACCTGGTGAAACTGTAAACCTGAGGTTGTGTGTGCAAACCTATATCTTGTAAACTGCAACGGGAAACTCCGCTCCGAGCACCGATACAGGAAAAGGTAGGACAGGACCATTGTGGAGCAGGGATGCTAGTATTATACTGAACATTCTGCACATGTGTATGTCACAGGGAACCAGCCACTCTGGTACCTGCACTGTCCTGCAGTCCCAAGTACTGCTCTGTCTAACACTGATACTCTAATCACAACACCTACGGACCTATCATCATGAGAGAGGGGGAGAAGCATTCATCTCCTTTAAGAGGCAGTCAGCCCCAATCCCAGAGGGAAGTTAAAGCTTCTCATGCAGGCTGTACAGCTGAAGAGCACAGGGATTAGCCTTACACAATCTGTGCTCTTTAAAAAGGGTCAGAATATTAACTGGGTTTCCACAATGATGAAAATGAGTGAGAAGGCACATGAGAAATCACTATCTGCACACTTGTAGTGCATTTCATCCTGAGGGCAATTACAACTTGTGCCTGTAAACAAATAAATTGCATTGAAATACAATCTCACACACATGGCTGAAGACAGTTCTACCTGAGTTTTCTGTACCTCATGAGTTACTTAGGAAAACAAAAACCCAGGGCTTATTTTAAAAATAGGAAACTGAAACTTTCTTAGCGGCAGAAAGCCTTGAGAACAGGTGGAGAAAAATCCTGCCTGTGGGCAAATGCTTAAATAAAGACTTTTGGGATTTGCATTTAGACTTTAAAATTCTAATCTGTTACTTCAAGAAAGCTTTATGTTATATAATTTAGGTTTTGTCTTACATTTATTTGATTCCCAAAGTGCTTCACTTAGCCAAAATTTTGGGCAGGGAACAGACTATTGAATTTTAGATTTGGTGTCACAATAACAATTCTTTTTTGCTGAGACAAACTAGTTGCTGGTAACAAAAACCAATCAGTTTGAGCAGAGTTGGACATATAAATCACTGCACTGTCAGTAATCTTATTGTATATTTTTTGTTCAAAAGGTAAATATTTTCTTAGCAAATTGTAATTGTAGCCCTCAGATAAACCTGTCAAACAGCTAAAGAAACAACTGCATAGTACTGAGGCTCTAACAGTTATAAATTATTCTCACAGGGCAGTGACTAGGATTATGTTTTCAACAATGTTGCAATTTAAGGAAGAATAGACTGCAGTCTTAAAGGAAAATAAATGCTGTTCTCTCCTTTAGAACCAGGATTTTAAAATATTGCATTCGATTTCTGGTTTCCCAGTATTCAAACGCTGTCCTAATTAAGGCAACTTGTGATATTCAACACAGTACAGAGGAGCAAACAAAAAATGAAAGCAATCAAATGTGTTTTCTGACATTTACACAGCTTGTTTTGAACTATGGCAAAAAATGAACACTAAGGATAAATTTAACACTACAGCTCTCTTCCTTTGCAATTCCAACACTACAGCTCTCTTCCTTTGCAATTCCAAGTGAGAAGTAGAGAGTACAAAAAACCATCTGATTGCAAATTGTGATTAAAATCTATATGGAAGACCCTAATTTAATGCAATAGGAGAGAGCTGAGGGCTTTATTTCATTTGTGAAGAGCTGCAGGGCTGCACTGGATCATCACAACACATTCCAGGGACCTGAATGAAGCTGTGTGGTGATCCACACTGAAACACTGCTGCATTTACACCCTGCATTTTACAAACAGCTGCAGTGGCATCACTGCCATTAGCTACCAGCACAGAGGCAATAAAGCCTGCAGATCAGCTTCAGTACAAAAAGAACTTTGCACAAAATAATGCAGTAATTTAGTGCTGCTCACATAATTAAATGTAGGCATACTCCAAAACAGGGGGGCATTTAGGAGAAAACAAGAAACTTACATGCTTGTTTTGTATGATGAAGCAAAAAAATTGAGAAAACGGTAGAAGCAGTTTTTAGGATTAATGTTGAAGAGTTACCAAGTGTATTTCAAATCAAAGAAGCATAATTCTTCTTCCTTATCCCTGTGGAAAAAACAAACAAACAAAACCAGAAAAGCATCATTAATACAGATTGTTAGAGAGCTGCCACAACAATCTGAACAATCTTTATTCCTCCAGAGAGGTGCGTAAATACCTCCTTTGTCTCCACACTACTCTTGCTCCTCATTTCCTAAGCCACTGCCAATGATCAGCCAAGGGCATCCAGGGTTTCAAACTGAGTCAGTTTTTGGCAGCCCTGGTGTTTTGAGCAGAACCCATCCTTGCTGCTCAAGGTGTGGAACATGCTGTGCCTTCCAGAGCCACAGCTCCCAGCAGACAGGTCCTGGGGAACCCCACGGACACAGGTGGAAAGAGGCCAATGTGACCTGTGTGGGATTTCAGTGATCCATCTGCTCAGTTAAAGACCTGGCAGCTTCCCTTACCAGCACAGCATCAGGAAAAGGGAAACAACCATACCCTGGGAGCTTCCCTTACCAGCACAGCATGGAACACATCAGGAAAAGGGAAACAACCCACACCCAGTGCTCTAAGATTTGTGGAGTGAACACTTCAATACTGACTCAGGAAATCATCCTGGGCAGGAGGATCATTAAGGCCACTGTGAACTTGTATTGGTACCAAGGCTCAGCACTATTGAAATGTTTCCTAAATAGCCACAGTTTTGAGCACAAGGTCACGCTTATTTCCATTTGTAGACTGATTTACTAGATCAAATGTTAGAGCCTGTTTGGTTCTTGGAATATTCCCGTATTTCCCACTAAAACTGGATAAATTCTGTACTAAATTCTCAGCAAAGGCATCGGCATAAGTAAGTTCTATGTACTGCATATTACACTGTAAGTTGACTTCTTGACTTAGTAATGTAGAACACACATCTTGATGAACAGGGAACAACTAAAACTAAGTGTAAAAATACCAATTAATGAGCCTTAAAATCATTTTTATATACTATCCACAAAAAATTAATTTTTAAAGGAAAGCATAGATTATATGATAGCAGTTGGGAAGAAAATACAACTAATAAGTATATTTGCTTATGTATTCCTGCACCTGTAAGGTGTTTATGCTCATGGTTTAAACAACAATGAAAAATACCCTTCTAATATTGGCAGTACAATTTACTACAGTTGCTTTCTACTTTGCTACCTGTTCTTTTCTCATTTATTTACCTAACACGAGGCAGCAACTCCAGAGAGTAAAATATGGGAATAGATACAAAGGTTAAAACCACATTTTCATTCACTCATGCTGGGAATGAGCTCCTGTCAGGCAGTTCACCCTCTACAGGTTGGTTCTGTCTAGGCTTGGATGCAAGTTTATTTGAACTGAAAATTAGCATCAAGGAAGAAGTGCAGCAGGCAAGGATGATGTTGCTAAAGCTCCCCATTTACCATGAGTGAAGAAGAGGAGGGAGAGAAGCAACCATAAGATATCACTCAGAAATATGCACACATTTTCCACTATTTTCTGCACATCAAAAACTTAAGAATAGTTCAGAAATGGCAGCTTGGATTTTGTCAGAACACAAACTGATGGGATCCATTTTATCCCAATGATTATGCAGGAAAAAGCACCAGATACAAGGGGAAGTGCTGGAAGAGCAGCAGATGTGCAGGGGATTTGGTGTCAATCCACCACAGGCATCACACCATTAGCAAAACTTCAGGTCCCACTGACCTCCCACAGGTGACAGAGACCAAGATAGAGCAGTCCTTAACACAGTGATACAGTTTGTGAATGAAGATGTGAAAGAAATAGAGCAAAGAAAGGAAGAATATGCACAGTGCCAAAAGGAATTCAGGAGTGGAGAAAAAGAGCATTCATTCAGCTCACTTTGCTTAGTAAACAAAAAGGACCTGAAAAGACAGTACTTTATTGAACTCTTGCACTCAAAGGATGAAATCTGGCTGTTTTCAAATCCATTTTAGGATCTGCACAGCATTGCTGCAATCAAAAGACCCTGGTCTGGTGTGAAAGCAACTAACAGGAATTTAAAAAGTTAACAACAGTTCACCCTTAGATTCACATGAAATTATACTGATGTTCTTGGGGAAAAACACCACAGTGTTAGGGGAAAAACACCACACTGAGCAAACAAAGGCTTTTCGTTAGGAATGGAATGACAAAAGATAAAGGAAAATAATGGGGAAAAAGTAGACCTCAAAAGAGAGAAGAAGAGGAAAAATTATCCACAGGGACATGAAAATTATGTAGGGGAATGAAAATAACAGGAAGAAGAAAGCTACAGATGTGATGCCTCTCTAGCATATACATAGTTTTCCACAGAGAGATAAGATACAGAAATAACCAAAGTCTAATGGCAAGTTAAACACATCCTGCAGCATGCAGTTAAAATTATTTCTGTTAAGACTGTCAGAACAGGTCAAGGGAAAAAAGTGCATCCATTGTCCAGCAGCAGGACACCTCCCTCAGCAGGTCTGAGACAGCCCATGAGGGGCACCCCTGTCTGTAGTAGACAACAAATGCCTTGGCATGATCAAAGATTGATCAGGATGGTAAAATGAAACTCAAGGCTGCACACTGCTGCATGACCTTCTGTACTGAGCATGCACCACCAGTGTTTTGAGGCAGCTTTCACACAGTTCTGCAGTGGTAGAGCTCTGGCACAGCACAACAAAGCAGGGCTGCTGTTTTAACTTCACCTGGGAGAAAGAGCAATTTGGTGAGAGCATCACCTGCCTCACCAGGCACTGAAGGCAAGCTAAAAACATGAGAACAGGATAACCCTTTGCAAACTGAGGGACAGGGCACACCAGGAAATATGATGTTTTTCACTTGTAAAGAGTGAAAAAGACACAAGAAAAGTGGGTGGGTTTTGTTTCGTTACTGTTACAAATACATCTACTATACACCCTATCTTTTCAAAAACATCACGTCTCTAATCTGGAATTTAACAAATTCCTTCTGCCAGCCATCTCAATTCAGCCTCCAGACCAAAGGGAAAATAATGAACTACTTTTTGCCATTTCATCTAGGTTCTCTGACTTTACTGGCAAGATGAACTCAAGCAGCCCAGCAGAGCTCAAGTTAAACTGGCATGTTGCCTGTGCTGGGGCCAATAAAGGCACCAGGATCCATAAGGGCCAATGAAAACAACTTCATCCACAGCCAGGATAAAAGAATGGAGCTTTCAAGATAAAATAATTACAAGCAGAGAAGCAAGTGTATAAATCACATCAATAAGGTTTCATTCAACAAATAATATACTATCTAGTAGATGATGCAAACTAAAAAAATATATATTTTAAAGCAAAATAGATAACCCAAGTGCTGGAAGACAAAATTTACCCTCAAGCATACAACTGGGCAAAGCTCAGCCCAAACTGGTGACAAACCCAAACTTCTGGCGGTTGCCACTATTCCACTCTTTCTCTTTGCCTTTTCATATACACCAAAAAACCAACTCTGTGAATTCTTGGTAAGCCACGGAAGATTTGGCAGTTCTGCCTAATACTGCACGTGATAAAGATGAGCCATGCATTCTAATGCAAGAGGCAGAAGGAGCAGTGACACCAGTCCTGAAGGCACTTCTGTAAAATTTCAGGTCTTTTAAAATGAAATGTCATCATTCCTTGGTTATTTGCACAGGACATACTGCACCACACTGGTTTCAGTGCCTGCTGTCTGCCTAGTCCTGTGCCCTCCTCCTTGCTCCAGGACAAGTAGACATCCACATCCCTGAATTTGGAGGCTGGCCCTGGGTTACAGCCCCAGGTAGCTGGGCACTGTCAGGACTCTGGCACTACAAGCTCAGAGCTGCTGTGTAAAACTGCACTTTGCAGCAGTGCCCCGGGGAGCCCTCCTGCAGCACAGGCAGCTGTGGGCACCTCTGCCCCTGCCAGCAGCCCCATGGCTCCAGGAGAGCTCACCTGGGACTGCTCCATGCATCCTGCTCCCTCACCCCACGAACAAGAAGGACCCAAAATAAGGGTTTCCTTCCATTAGACCCCTCTCCCACTCCTCTTGAGGTTGGGGAGAAACCCCAAAGGTTTCTCTTTTCCCAAAGAGGAAAGAGAGAGGTGCTCACCTCCCCTTGGGAGGAAGAGGTGAGAGGTGACACAAGAGGAGGATGAGATGCCAAGGTGAAGGGGCTCTTTCATGGTTTGCAAGGTGGGTTCAGATGATGGATCCAGAGACACCCACCCACACTGCCATCCCTGGGAGCAATGGGAGGTACCCCGGCCATAGGGCTGCACAAATACAGGTCCTGTGATGAGTGGCTATGGTGTGCTTCTCTGAAACTGCCAAAAAAAGAAGCTCCAAGTTATACCAAACTGCACCAAGGGGTGTGCCTAACCTTTCTATATTTTACACCTTAGTGAGGGCCCCTCTGTGAACCCTCTCCCCCTGAGCAGAAGCTGTGGCACTGCTGTCATTTGGCCATTAACCCGCTCTGCGCTGCCCATCCCCTGTGACAGCCGTGCCCGGCAGGCAGCACCCACTCACCCGCGCTCTTCACCGGTGCTCCACCACGAAGCGCATGGTGGTGCCGTCGAAGGAGGGCGGCGCGACGATCCGCGGCCCGGTGGCCGGCGCTGTGATGCTGATGACCGGCTTCGCCTCGGCCGGCCCGTGCCGCGGCGGCGGCGGGCCCTTGCTGGTGGCCACGTAGTAGGGGCTGTCGGCGAAAGGCGCCTCTGGCGCGGCGGGGCTGCCGGGCTCTGCGGGGGCGCTGCCATCGCTGCCCGAGTGAGACAGCGGGCGCTGCAGGGCGCCGGCGGGCAGCACGGTGGCGGCGGGCAGGAGCCCGGGGTACAGCATGTACGTGGCGCCGTAGGCACCGGCACTGAGGGCGAGGGGCGAGAGAGGCAGCGGGACGGGAGCCACGGCCGGCTGCTGGGGCACCGGCACCTCCACGTACTGCCCGGTCTCGGGGTCGAAGAGGCGCCGCTTGAGGGGCTGCTGCACGGGCGTGTCCACCAGGTAGTACTGCCCGGTGCTCACGTCCAGCAGCACCTTGCGCTGCGTCTGCGGGAAGGGCTCGGCCGCGGTGGCCGCGGCGGGCACGGAGGGCGAGAAGCAGAGCAGCGGCGGCGGCGCGGCGCCGGGCAGGGCGGCGAAGGGCAGCGGCGGGCGGTACAGGGCGGCGGGCGCACCCTCGGCGGGCGGCGGGGCGGCGGCGGGGGGCTCCTCGGCGGGCGGGGGTCCGGGCGGCGGTCTGGGGCTGCCGGGGGGCTTGGCGGCGCCGAAGGGCTGCAGGCCGCACAGCGCCGCCGCCGCCGCTGACGCCGACACCGGGCTGGGGCGGATGCCGCCGCCCTCCGTGGCCCCCGCGGACGGGGGGGAGCCGGGCTCGGCGGCCGCCTTCAGCGGCAGCGACAGATAGTTCCCGCAGTCGGGGCCGCGCTCCGCATCGCCGCCGCCGCCGCCCGCGGGCAGCCGAGGGGAGCGCGGCGGTGCCGGGCCCCGCGGGCCGCCCTCGGGGGGGAGCTTGGCGGGCGCGGGGGCCGCGGCTCCGCCCGCCCCGCGGAGCGTGAGGAGGGCGCGGGGGGCGGCGGGGGGCTCGGCGCGGGGCGGCGGCGGGCAGCGCTGCCGCTGCCGGGCCAGGCTCTCGAAGGCGGCCGCCTTGGCCGAGACCTTGTCGGCGGCGCTGTTGGAGGGGCGGCGGGGCAGCCGCTCGCTGCTCGGGCCCTTGCCCGACGGCTCCTCCGCCTTGTCCGCCGGCGGCGGCGGGGGCGGAGCGGCGGCGGCGGCGGCGGGTCGGGAGCCGGCGCCCCGCTCCTGGCTGGCGATAAGGGAGAGGACGTGGCTGTCGGTGATGGGCAGAGGGTCGCTCTTGCGCTTCCACTCGCGCTTGTTGAAGCTGTAGAGCTCCTCCATGCTCCGCACCGCCGCCGTCAGCTTCTCCAGCGCGTTCTGCACCGGCGCTGCCTTGCTCTCCTCCCGCGGGTCCTCCTCCGGTCCCCGGCCCCTCTCGGGGGGCGGCGGCGGCGGCGGCGGCTGGTGCCGCCAGGGCGCGGAGGATTTGGAAACGATCTTGAGCACAGCCGGCTGGCGAGCATCGCTCTTGTTGGGGGCGATGGTGGCCACTGGCAGCCTGCCCGAGGTGCGGTGCACCAGCACGGTGCCCTCCGGGGGGCAGGCGGGCGCCCTGCCCGCTGCCTTGGCCCCCCCCTCGGTGGGCTTGGTGCCGGTGTGGCCGACCGCCTGGCAGGTGATGACCACGGGGGAGAGCGACCGGGGCACCCCGGCGATGACCAGCTGCTGCCGGGGCTTCTGCTCCGGGCCGCCTTGCTCGGAGGCGCCGCTGCCCTTGTCGCTGCTGTTATCTCCCGAGTCGGCGCTGTAGGAGCTTTTGATGAGCTTCCGCACGTCCCGCACCTGGTGGAGAATCCCCTGGGCTCTGTACTTGCTGTCCCTCACGTCGCGCACCAGGAACTGCGGCACTTTGTCGGCGCCGTCGCCGGCCTTGAGAGGCTTGAGCGGCTGCCCCCTGCCCTCCTCCGGCGGCCGGCCTGCGATCTGCGGCGTCAGCAGCTGCGCGATGCTGAAAGCGGCGTCCCGGGGCTGCTGCACGCTGCCCAGGCTGATCTTGATCTCGGGCGCTTTGGGCTTGGCGGCGGGGGGCGAGGTGGCGACGGCTGAGGACACGGCGGCGGCGGCGGCGGCCGAGCACTTGGTCGCCCTCTTGCCGGGATCCTTCTCCCGAGGGGTGTGCTGAATGGCGGGGACGAATAGGCGGGACATCTTGGTGGACTTGCCGGCAGAGATCTCACCCAGGTCGGCTCGCCAGTCGTTCTTGGAAGAAAGTTTCAGCTTGCCGATGGGCGCCCTCTCCTCTTTCCTTTCCGCCTCCCGCTCCTTCCAGGACCTGAAGGCGCTGTTCTGGCTGCGGAGGAAGGTGGCCTTGATGGCCTCCGAGGCGCTGCGCTTCACCTCGCACAGCTCCTCGGACAGCGCCCGGTCCAGGCTGCGGTTCCCCTCGCGGGGCGTCGACGCCTTGGAGGCCGGGGAGCGGCCCCCGCCGCCCTCGCCCGCATCCTCCGCCGGGGCCGGGGCGCAGTCCGAGCCGCCCTCCGAGTGCCGGGAGTTCTGCCGCTGCACGCCGCCCTCCCGATGCCGCTCCCGGCCGGCGCTGCCGCCGGTGGGTTCGGGCTCCCGGCCCGCGCCCGGCCCGGTGTAGGAGGTGTCGGTGATCTCTCCCCGCTCCATCTTGAACTCGTGCTCCAGCTGCATCTTCTTGGAGATTACGTTTTTGAGGAGGCTGGAGGCGAACCTGGACTTCTTGCTGGAGCCCTTCCCGCCGCCCTCCGCCGCCGGCGGCTCCCCGGCCTCGGCGGCATCGCCGAGGTCCAGCAGGGTCACCACCCGGGAGCCCGCTCGCAGCCGCCGCGGCGTTTCGACGTGCGCGATCTCCCCGTCGAGCTTGCTGACCACGAACTCGAGGGCTTTGGTCTGCGAGCGGCCGGAGCGCAGCAGGCTGGGCTCGGCTCTCGGCCCCAGAGTGCCGCACTTGAGGTCCAGGTAGGTGGACCAGCGGTTGATGCCCAGGGCATTGTCGGACAGGGAGGCGGAGGAGGCGCGGGAGCCGGGGCGCAGGGTGTCGAAATAGGGGTACGCCAGGCTGCGGAAAGCCCTGGCCGTAAGGTTTCGCACCTCTTTGTCGGCATCGTCCAACTCGCTGACGGCGCTGGAGGCGCCGCTCGAGTGCTCCCCTGCCCTGGCGGCCCCGCAGCGCGTCTGCAGCCGCGCAGGCACCGCGATGAACTTTTTCGCGTGGTCGCGGACCGCATCCTGTTTTAAACTCGCACTGCGGTCGGGAGCCGCGGCGACACGGAGACTCATGTCGCCTTCATGCTTGGCAGCGTAAACAGTGTTTTGCTTTCCGTGCACGTTGCTAGACTCATTTATAGCCCGGGAAGCGGCTTTGATTGATAGGAGAAGCTGGGCGCCCGGGCTCCCGCCGGGGCGGCCGGGCTGCTTGGACCGGCTTTCCCCCGAGCTGGCGCGCTTGTCCGCGCCGGGGGTGTCGTGTTCGGAGGTAAGGCTGACGATCTCGGTGCTGCTGGTGTTGTCGATGCTGTCCGTCTGGTTGTTGTGGTCGCTGGTGGTCGTGCTAAGGTAGCAGCTATTCTCCTCCTCCTCCGTCAGCGTGTCCCCCGGGGTCTCGTCGCTCCCGAAGGAGGCGTAGTCAACGAAGGAATAGATCACGTTGTTATCCTCGAAGTCCCAGCGGGCGGCCAGCCCCGCGTCGAAGTCCATGTCGTGGTCCACCTCGCTGAGCTGGATCTCCTGCGTGCTGATATAGTGCGCCTCGTCGCGGCCGCCGCCGGGAGGGGAGCCCGGGGGGGCGCCGGGGGGAGTCGCCTTGCGCCCCGCGACCTCATCCTCCACTTCGCTTTCGTAGCCGAAGGACGACGAGGAGGTTTTGCCCTCCGTCGACACCGGGTCGCCCATTGCGGGAGAGTCGTCCGCCTTGGTCACAGGCGAAGGGCAGGAGGAGGAGGAGGAGGACTCCGGGCAGCCCCCTGCCTCCGGCGTCCCGCCGCTCCCCGCCGCTTCCACGGAGCCGGGGCCGGTGTCAGCGCCGCATTCCGCCGCCGCCGGGGAAGGAGGGCGATCCCGCCCGCGGTCCAAGGATGCTGGCCCCGCTTCCTCCGCCGGGGGTCCGCCGCTCGCCGAGTCGCCATCCCCGGTCCCACCGGCTCCGCTGTCCGGTGCGGGACCGGACGCTCCCTCCGCGCCGCCGGCCGGGGCCAGTTCGGGCTTCTGGCCACTCTCCTCCGGCCCCTGCGGCGAGCCGCGGATCTCCACGTACGCCGCCTCCCTCTCCTCCTGGATGGGCGCCTCCGGGCCGGGGTTCGGGCTCGGGTTTGTGCTCGGGTCCCGCTCCGCCGCCGCGCCCTCCGGGCCGGCTCGGGGGCTGGCGGGCCGCTGGCCGGGCGCGTCCATGCCGGGGCCGTCGGGGCGCGGCAGTGGCCCGCGGGGGCGGGCAGGCACGTGCCGGCGGGGACGGGGGGGCGGCGGCCGCCCACGCCCTGCCCTCCCCTCCTTGCCCTCCCCTCCTTGCCCTCCCCTCCGCTCCTCTCTCGTCCCCTCCTCCGCCCGGCGCGCCGGCTCCCGGCCCGGGCGGGCATCGCCGCCGGGGGGCGGAGGGGTCGGGCCGGGCTCAGCTTCCCCCGCAGCCCCCCGCGGCACAGGGCAGCCGCTCTGGACACCGCGGGGGAGCTGGCCCTGCACATCCCGGCACGGGCCCCGGTCCCGCGGGTTTTCCGAGACGCGGACTATACATAGAGCCGGCGTCACTTAGGCCGTCTGAAATCCTATTTTAAACTTCTGTGTTTCCCCGGAATAAAGGCGCCCGGACACCCCTTGGAAGGGGAGAGCTGCCCATGCCTACAAAGATGCTGCCCAGCTCCCCGGGGAGCCGGCGGCACCGGCTGCAGGAGACAACTCCCAGGACACTGGCTGAGCACGCAGCGTGGCAACAGCAAGTGCACCCTCCTCGTTCTACATGTAGCAGTGGCTAAACAGCTGTTTTCTTCCCTAAACTATCCCCTGCACCCTGCGTCCCCAGTCGCAGGAGGCGTCGTCGCATAGGGACACCCTATGGACGGCCGTCTGGCCCTGCACCTTTACAGAAGTCCAGAGAGCCACCGGTCTCCAAAAAAACTTTCTCTTTCCAAATGCCGGTTTAGACACAACCAGCACCTAAGGCCTATAAATAGGCGTTTCTGTGGCATGCCTGACCTTTGGCAGCTGAGAGCTTCACTGAGCGGTCCCCAAGATGACAAACCAAAAATCAGTGCAAGCACCATGGAAGTTTTGAAAAGGCAAGCTGTTAAACACTGAGGAGGAGAAACAAAGGACAGCCAGCAATGTTGAGGAGCAGCCCACAGGTATACAATGCAAATAATAACTTAAATTCACAGCTTAAAAAACAACATCCCAAATTTAAAGTACTTGAACACTAAGGTGAGCAAGCTGGCATTGGGCTGGTAACACTGAACTGAGGTGTAGGAGAGCTGTGGAAATCCCTCAAGTGATTACCAGGATCCAGGACCTTCCAGCTGCATGGGGTGGCATGGTGTGCAGCTCTGCCAGGGATGCCACAGGAATAGAGGAGCCAAGATGCAAAGCTGATGCTATCCCAGAAGTCTTCCCAGCACTGTCCATGTCAAAACAAGGGTTTCCCAGTGCTCCCAGCTCCTCATCCCACCTTGTAGCCAGGAGGCTCTGCTGCCATCCTCCCACTCTTCCTGCTGCCTCCAGGAAAAATGACCTGCCTTCTTTACTGAGCCCAAGTGGAGTCTTGTGAGGCTCCCTGCAGCAAGGGCAGGTTTATAGCCTGGTCCAGATAAGGGTCTCTGCTACCTGGAGGAAAACAAGTGAGGTGGCTCCAGCTTTTAGTACTCTACATAGATACATGGTCATTTCTTAGTACTCTACATAGATACATGGTCATCTCTTAGGCTGCAGGTTGACAGGATGGAAAATATTACTGAAGCACCGTGCGATATTTTAACAGAAAGACACATCTTCCAAACCTGGAGGGTTTGGAGCAAGTCAGGTCATGTGCAGCAAGGCTCTCCCCAGGCAGCAGGGATAACTGATTCCCATCCTTACTGAGTCTGTCCTGCCCCCAGTGTGCTGTCAATGAGAAGCTGAGCACCAGCTTTTATGGGCACTAGGCTTCCTCAGCCTCAATCTTAGCCCAGGTTTATGTAGCTTCAACTCCCCTGGTGCACACAGTGACTGCAGTTCTCCACAGAGCTGTGGTAAGTGGCATCCTCATCCCCAAACAACTTCACTGGGTTTTGTGTCCCATCCACATATATTACAGGTTTGGCCATCAAGCAGCGCAATGAAATCTCAAGCAGCACAATAAAATCACAACATAACTAGAGAAAGACAATATTTTAGCACATTATTATGAGATATCTTAGTTTTAATTGATGATGGGCTAAGAGTAGATCCTCAAATACAGTCCTTTCCAAATGCCTGGGATGCCAAGGAATGCATTTTAAACCCTGATCATTCATTGTACTCGGGTGACTGCTGGCAGCTGTAGCAGCCTGGCCTTCTGCTCTGCCTTCTGCCAGATGCCTCCTCTCAAGCAAGGTCTCCACCCCAGGTTCTCAGTGCCCCACACTCTGATCTCCCTAACCAGGGTCTCAGGTGTCAGTCTATCACACTTCACTCTCCCCTCTAATGTTTGGTTTTCCTGCATTAAGGGTACACAATGAATCAGATCTTTGCTCCCCAAACCTGCACAATTGAGAGTGGTGGTGTTTTTTTGAGTAACAGTTGTTCATGTATTCCTGCCAAGATCCCCAGACAAGATCCCCACCAAAATGAGCATCGAAACTTGACTCTATTTATCTATTTTCACAGTCCAGTTTCTAGCTATGGTCCTGAGATGTTTTTTTCTGCCCTTTTCCTTTGGTGGTATCTTGAACTAAATCTACTCAATCTTACAAACCCAGGCAGTGATTCTCCCAACTGAGGCAGAAACCACAATGGAGCACTCATACATGTATGTTTATAACATACTGGTGTCTCCAGCACAGGGAATTTATGCCCCTGGTGACAAAAATACATACTTAAAATCCGCACCTGTTCCTCTCCACTTTCAGTCAGGGCTAGTCCTGGAGGCCTGCATGCCTTAGGCTGTCAGATCAGGGTATTTCCCATGGCACTAAGACATTGCTGCAGGGTACAGAGCCACACAAATCCTAATGTCATTTGTAAAAAGTGAGTCTCTGACACCCAGCTTAAGTGCTCTAATCACTGTATGGTGTTAGAAGAGTGGGGGAAAATGAGAAGGATTTCCTCCTCTCTTTTTTGTGTCACAGATTTCTGCTCTGATGCGGTGCCAGCTCCTCAGAGACGCTTTGCTGCGAGTCTGGCCTCGAGCAAAGCGTAAAATTCCATGGGGTTTAGGCTTAATACCTTCTCCCCAGCCTTTCCTCTTAGCTACCAGAGTGTCAGCTTTTGTAAAGCCTGCTTTGGAGGTGTCTAATAGCCTCCATGCATTGCATCCAAAGCTTGGGTGCACAGCTTGGACCCAGAGCTGGCTCCCCAGAACTGCTCCCTGTGGCACTGCCTCGCAAGGGATCAGAATGCTTCAACAGCTTTGCAAAGGGGTAGATGATGTTGGGTTTATGGGGTTTTTTGTATCTATTACAGTTGCCAGAAAAGCTCTGCAGCAAGCAGAGTGTTAGACCTGTTTGGTCACAGTCAAAAGTACACAGGAAAAGTGCAGCTTCATCACATCTTCTTGCAAATAGCAATTTCTTGCTCTGTGCTGGCATGACATCTCCACTGATTAATAATCAGATCAATGTGGTTTGGTTAATAATGTGGGATATCAGTAAATAACATGTCAACCTGATGATTCTAGCAATACTCAGCTGATGCATGCATCAGCATCAATTACTCTCTTGTGGTTTCCACCTTTAAATATCTCTTGCTCACTAAAGGTACTGAAGTCTAAGATTTCTGCATCCAAATCTGTCATGAAGTGTTACTGGACCTGTCCTCAGAATCACAGAAAACCTGTGTGTTTAATGCCTTTTGTAACACAGTAGGTACTCCACTTTTAAACTCTTTTCTGGTAAAAATAACAACATGCACTCTTTAACCACATTCTGTCCTTTGCTCATAGAGCTTAGGTCAGACAGGTAAAGGTGATGGGGAAAATGTAGAGAGGCTGGATTAGCTCTGCACCTTAAAATACATTACTCATGGAAGTAGCAGGGAAGTGGGATTTAAAAGGGATTTGAGAAGAGACACTTAAAAATGGAATCAAGAGATGAAGAATGAGGAAGACTGTAACTATACAGTTACATAGGAGACCATACAGAGGAAGGCATAGGGTTTTTTCCCCTTTAAATGAGACAGACAAGGAAGTGAACAGTTGGTGGGGAAGTAATTAGTTGAGCTTTCTCTGACTAGGGAAAGGTAAAATATTAATCTGTTAATTTAACCTTAGGAAACGTTAATACCACTTTAAATATTTGAGTTATTACAGTGTTAAGTGATCACAAAGGAGTTATAAAAATCAGACTCATACAGAAGAAAAATCAAAATATTATTTTCATGGAGAAGACAAACACTGTTCCAGTAACTAAGATGGCCTGCAGGAAAAGTTATGCTTCTTGCATGGAAAGTGATGTCTTTCACAAAAAAATAAGGAAACAGCACAAGGATTCTGCTGAATTCTGTGCACACAGCAAAAAACGCTCGCTATAGGTTCAGAGAGGTGAAAAATGATAGAGTCATAGGAAAAAGCTTTAATTTTTGTCTGATTATTCTCTTGAGTAGTATTTGAATACTGCTGGATTAAATTTTTTCTCTCAGTAGTTTTCTGGTAACATTGCACATTGTCAAGGTGAGCTCTGTGGTAATCTTTGAAATCAAAGCGAAAAAATACATTAGTGGAATTTAGATGTATTTCTCTGTGTGTGTGTTAAGGAGAAGGGAAAACTGAAAACAGCACCCTGATTTTCTCTCAAGAAAAAAAAATCTCAAGTACCCAAGAAGGAGGGAGCAAACTCCACTTTGGAATGGAAGAGGTGGATTTGTGGCTTAGCAATAAACAGTGCAGCCGACCATACATTATACATCTCCAAGTGCTACCAGATATACTGAGAGGAAATACAATACCCACACATGTGCATTGGTATGGAAGTTTTCTAGCAAAACCAAGTGGGAATAAAATGAGATTTTTGTAGCTTGCACTAAAATGGTGTTTCTTACAGCATTTAGCAAGGGTCTGACTGAAAAAGTACTAAGCAAAAACTGAATGAAAACCAACACCTGGATGGCTCAATCCTTTCTCTCACAGAGACTATGCTAGTCAAGGGGATCTTTCTTTATTTCCTTTTCCATCCGAGCCTGTAGAAGAAATTGAGGGGCTCTTCTTAACACTCAACCTGCAAATGGAAACCAAATGTGCACTCCCTCCTGGCAGTCCTCTCCCTCTCAGTGAGTGTCAGTCCTTTCTAAAGAAACTCCAGAGCTGGGTGGATTTCAAGACCCTAACCCTGAGTGCTTGAGCTTGCATGATGCAAAGACCTTGGCGTGGCTCTCCCAATGGGAGGCCGCTTTTCCTCCTAGGATGAGACAGGCTCAGGTTCTGGCCTCTGCCCTGTGCCGTGCATTCCCGTGTCACTGAGCCCCGGCAGTGCCGGTGGAGCAGCAGCCCCCGCCCTGCCCGCAGCTCCCCCTGGCCCTCGCTCCTGCCGGGTGCCTTACAAGGGCTGCAGAAGATATGGATGTT